GCTAATTTTGCAAGGATTATCCGAGCCAAATCATGAGGTGATGAAGGAAACCAGTATAAAAAAGCATAAAAGTATTGTAATCCCTTTTTTGCTTCTCTTCTCCGCATCTCATATTCCCTCTTAGCCTTCTCTCGCCTCTCAAAATCACAATTTTGATAATCCATTTAGCCAACGGATTGGTAATAACTCACACAAACAGTTTGTAAATTAGCAGCTACGACAATAGGTTTTTGCGACGCCCGAGCGAAGGAGGGAAGTAGTGAGGGAACCAGAAGAGTTAATGATGGTTCCGGGGAGGAAGCAGGTATTTTACGCATGAATTCAACCAAATTGCGGTCCCAAAAATGGCATGACTATTACAGCTTATTTGAACAACAAATTAGTATTTGGCAAAGGTCAAAAGCACCAGCAAACAGCACATCAGCGCTGAGGCACAACAAGGAGGAACAGAGGGAATAGAAGGAGTCCAAAGGGAAAATGACTGGAATTTTGAAATATGTTTTTCCTTTATCCTAACAGAAACGTATTTTGAAGTACGAAGAAGCATAAGCCACATTTAACAAGAACTAGACTTGAAATACCAAGAGACCGCTCGGACAACAGTGTGGGTATCCCATGTTAGTGATGTTACTAGAATGCTGTCACATGTCAGGTGCAGCTATATCAGGCCCTTCGAATCTGAGCTAGTTAATTCCAATTAGAACCAATCGCCTATTTGATATATTTGTGTTGTACAACAATTATAAGGTGATCTTAAAAATGCCAAAAAATAATTTTTGGGCAAAAGAAAAAATAAAGTTTACTGACCAAAAGTCTTGCTGTTACCTTAGAAGAATGGATATAGTGATAACGCTTGCGCTAATTTTGTATGATGACCGCTACTTCTGGAAGAAACATTCAGAAAAACTGGATTTTGCCTGGTGGATTTCCTAGGGATAGCAGAAGCAGCCATTCGGCTTAATTAGATCGCTTTGGGGATTTACAATTGCATCAACTATTCTGATGTATTCACGAGAATGGCAGCTGGTCCATCTAATAATCGGTCTAAAGTATCAGAAGCGTGCTAAAAGTCTGTGGTATTCCCATTAGGAGATCCTTTTAGAGCTCTTGAAAAACAATGAATTTTTCGATTGGTACAAAGGACAAAGGTACCGTATGTTTGGTAGGCAAATACTTGGAATACGCTGATTAGCAGTTGTAAATCATAATTCTATGCACCTGAAAGTTTTTCCAATTCCATTAATCAGTGCTGCATCGCCTGGTGGTGATCCTTCTGGCGATCCCGACATTCGTACAATATAATAAATTTTTTGTGACAAATACTGTATGTTATTACTTTATTACTGATTATCAGCTATACAAGAAATAAAGCGCATTAAACTAAAGATCAAAAGAAAGTTTCAGAAACAAGATCTAGAAGTCCTACGCTGATCCCACCAAGAAAGAAAAGGCGACTGAACCAAGGATATCTCAAAACAGCTTAAATCTTGCTATGCGCTTCAGTCGAGAAAATCGCTACGCATGGAAATCTCTTCAGAAGACAAAACGAACGCTAGGACAGCTAGCAGACTGACCATCAAAACAACTGAGTTGGAATTACAGCCAGGCTAAGTAAGGTTCCAAGGAGTCCAAGTAAAATTTTACCTTCTGCTGATCGTTTCGCTTACGGCCAGTATCTATTTCAAATGCTAAAAGTCACAAAAGATCCACTAACCATTTTCACCGCTTGTATTTGCCTTGTCATCACTGGAATCGAGTATATCGGAGATACGGAAAGAATTGCTGGTACCACACGTTGTACTGCTACCGCCACTGCTTGTCAGGCTGTGCGCTGTGGAGTTGGTTGTAATTTTGCCAGCGCTACTGCTCTGGGTACCGGGCACTGAATTCAGTAGTGCCATCGTTGCTGGATCGACCATACTGTACGTGAATGGATTCATAAGCAGTTGTCGTGGATCCAACAAATTCATTACCAGTTCAACGAATTTATCAGTATTATTGGATTATTACTGAAATCCATGTATTTTGCTAAGATATTTTTGTGAATTTGAGAGAAATTAAACGACGACTAGGCGAAGCTTGAAGAGGTAGCGAGCATGCATCGAACAGGGAGTGAGTTCTAACTGAAAGTAATCGACCTGAGATCGAAGGCTTAGCCACGCTGGGCGTTTAGCTGCATCCCCGCAATACTGTAACAAGGGATGATACACTGCCGACCAGCGATCCTGGCATTTTTAAGTTTTTCGCACTGAAAAAAAAGCACTAGAGCAAAATCGCAGATATGAATTTTTTCGCATTTGCGCACTTTCTGTCTATCTTAAGAAATTATAAAACGACATAGGCTAAAACTGAAATTTAAAAAAAAAATAAATTAGAAGTTGCAATCTACAGCCAGACTTCATAACTTATTATTTTTGTTGTTAGCGACACAAAACTTGAAACTCAGGAATGCTAATCGGCAAAGATGCAGGAATTTCAAGAACTTCAGGACAGTCGATTTTTTCCGTGTTAGGTTGACTCTATAGCATGCAGTAGTACCAATTTGTTTTCAAAATAAGTGAATGAATCACAGAAATTTTATTTTTTCCTCGCTGGAGAGTCAAGCCTTCGAACTTTTGCAAGGCATCAATGCGTCATACCTGCTAATGTTTTTTTTAATTGCTAAAGAAAAAAAGGAATAATTTTTGAGACCTCATGAATGCTAGAAAGAAGTTTTAGTGAAGAGATCCAAGCTTCTTTTGTTTGTAGATGAGCATCTCGATAAATGCTGTATGGTTCTTATTGCACATATGGCGGAATAACGTGACAGAAAGCAATCACAAGAAAGATCGAGAAAGTGGAACCAGCTACTGAATAGAGACAATTCAGGAAAACTGTGCACTTGGCGTAACTGTAGGTTTTATAGAAGCTGTCTTTTAGCAGGGCCCCGGATGAACAGCTCGAATAATACGATGCGAAAAGCTAAGAAAGTGAAAATCTGCCAAATGGATTTCAATTAACGGAAGTGCTTCAGGAATCCTTTTTTGTTGAAAAGGCAATGAGCTTATTTGACACGAAAATTACTGTTTAAAAGTAGATATGCTTGGGAAGATTGAGCAAAGGGAGAAGTATCAAATTAGAAATCCTCCAATTTTTCGCATAATAGAACCTTGAAATTCGAAATTAATTTTAACCACCGATGTAGTTCTGAAAAAGCAGTGACATAGTTCTGGTTCTTCTCTGGCTGTTCATGGCCAGTGATCCTCGGGAAAACCGGTCTTTCCACAGTTTGCTGATTGCCTACACGGTAATAACAAGCATGATGTGCAAAAGCACGAGAATATCTAGGATCAATTTACGTAAAATAAGCATGGAGACGCGCGAAGCTGAGAGCGTCTCAGTAACATCCCTAATATGGAATTTCAGTAACACCCCTAATATGGAATATCCACAGTGACTGTTATATAGCTTGTATTTTTGGTATTATGTTGTGCCAGCAGCATCAACTATAAAACTGTAAAAAATTATTGAATTTATTAAATCATCCAAATCCTTTAGAAAAATTTTAAAAACACAGCAGCATGTTCAAATATTTTATGTGGTAATAACAAATATGCGAAAAACTGCTTCCAGAATAATTATTAAGTAATGGTAGTCAATAAAATCATGAAAATGGAATGAAGATGCCCATATAATTTACAACAATGTTTTTAAAAATTCCTCCTCACTTCGCGCACTTTGAGGAACATCGACGCTCAAAAGTGGCCTACCTGAATAAAATTGCTGCTAATAGCTTAAAATCTTTGAAAAATAGAAAACCATATAATTTACAAGTTACGGTTAAAAAATTCCTCACATCTTACGATAACACTCAGGAGCGGCTTCTTAAAGCATAACTACTAGTACTGATAGTAGTACCTCTTTCCTCTCTTTCTTCCCTCCATCCCTTCCTTCTCTCCTTCCTTCCCAAA